TACTAGGCTGATACAAATATGGAGGTGTGGGTGGGAATTTCATAAAGTCCTGATGATTAAGTGCTTGTATCACCTAAAGAAACTCAGCGCACATTCTGGTTGCACCATTTGGACCTCTCTTTTCAATACATAGCCAGCTGATGTCATCTCACTTGGGTGGGGGTATGTCCAGACCTATGAATTTGAATTTTAACTAGACACCTAGGGAGTTTTTGCATACACTGAAGACTTAAGGGATGCCCAACCTTTTGATGTAGTAACATGATCTTGTCACCTGCCAAGTTATTGCTTGATAATCACCAAATTTATCAAAATCTCCCGAGACCCTACAAAAATGCTCATAACATTTCCAAGAAGCTTTCAATTTTAGCTATCCTGGGGTACATGTGAGACATGGGACAATCTGTTACTGCAACATTACCATCTCTAGTCACCATTCAGGATCTGCATTTCTTCTGTTATTGCTGCTCAGAAACACACACACACACACACACACACAGAGAGAGAGAGAGAGAGAGAGAGAGAGAGAGAGGGAGAGAGAGAGAGGAAAGCTAGATACATAGACAGAGAGAGCTAGACAGAGAGAGAGACAGAGACACACAGAGAGAACAACCAGAGAAAAGATTTTACCCATCTTAGTTGAGTAAAACTCAATAGCTAAACCATGACCTCAAGAAACCTGCTCAAAATGCCAACACTGGCTTAACTTCTGCATTCACATTTCAGTGCCATTGTTAATAAGTTTCTCTGGTTGTATCATCTCTTTTTCCCTCTGTTTATAAGTTAAAAAGGATTTTGGAGATATCTAGTAGATGTAAGAGAAATAGATTTTAGATATTATTTGGTACTTTAATTTTATAATCAAAATGATTCTCGACTGTATTCATTTCTTAGGGATGTTGTAAGAAGTCTCACACATAGGTGACCCAACACGAAATTAATTTATTCTTTTGTGGCTATGGACATCCAAGTTTCAGTCAGTGTATCTGGGTAAAGCCATATGTCTCTGAGACACAACTCCTGCCTCTTTCAATTTCTGCTGGCTATGTGTCCTTGACCTGTGAGGAAGCTTCAGTTCTTTTTTTTGGCTTCATTGCATCTTCTTAAAGTGTGTGTCTAGTCTCCCTCTCTATCCTTCCTCTGAGGCATCTGTGTTTGGACCCTGTCCAGATGATCTATGATCATCTCCCTGTCTCAAACCCCTCAACATCATCACATATCCAGGCTACCTTTGCCATTTCTGTCATTTAGGGTAATATCTATAGGTTCTAGAACTCAAGTCATGTATATTCCTGGGATTAGCAAGTGCAGTTTTCAAACCACTATAGTAATTTTACAAAGAAGAATAGGGCAAACACTTAAAAAAATGTATCATTTGTCAGTTGACATTGGTTTTTACTTTCCTGCATCTTAGCTTTTAACTTGTCCTTGTAGGTCCATTTTCTTTAGTGAATTACATGGATTCTTCTCCATCACTTCATCTTCCCACCCTTGTGGATACCAGGGTTTCCATGCAGGTAAACGCATCAGAAGCAGTTTAAACCAAAGTGCACCAATCCAGTTAGCAGGAGAGGGAAGGAGTAGAGAAGCCAGAATAAATTGAAGATTTAAGCATCAGAGTTGGAAAGGAGACTAGATTTCTACAGACACGGTATACTCTTGATGCATGCAAGGGAAATCCAAGAGCCCAACACCATTCAGAGTGACTGTTGCACACTGCATAAGCATTCTCCTCATGGTCTCATGGGAAGAGTTTTATGCTGGTGATGGACATTTCAAAGGGGTCTCAGGCCTGGAACAGTGCCTGGCGTGCATTCACTTTTGGATTTTTAATTTGTTCATGTCTCCGACCTAGGTATTTAGAGGACAAGTATTTGTGGATTTTCATAAAACAAGAACTAATCTTCCCTTTGCTTTTATATCTACAACTACAAAGATTGAAGTGCTTGGCACACAGTAGGTGCTCGTAAAAACATTCTCATCGCTGCTGGAAGAAAAGATTTAAGCAAAAACACCAAGAGAAAGTGTGACAGGAAGGGGGGAGTAGGAAGAGAGGAAGGGGGAGTGGGGGAGAAGAGGAGGAGGTGAGGAAGAGGAGGAGGAGGGAAAAGAGGAAGAGAGGAGGAAGTGGAAAGGAAGAGGGGCAGGAAGAGGAAGGAGGAGGAAGAGGAAGAAGAAAGCTCAATATGAAACTCAACTAACTATATGGTCTAGAGGCCAAGATAAAATATGTTTTCTTTTCATGGCAGTCATTTATGTGTTTTGGCCAAGGTCAAAGACAAGCACTTCAGCCATTTAGAGACATTTATTTCAGGTGTGTGGTGTCTCTATCGAATATGCCACAAACGATTGAAATTGCTCTCTTATTTACCATGTGAGGTTTTGCTGTCACAGACTTTGTTTGGGGTAGAATATTACCCTATGGAAATTTATTCGAGAGAAAACAAGGTGCCTCCTCAATGTACTACAGAAATTTAAAAATTAAAACAAGGCTAAAAGCACTTTGTCTAGTGCATTGGCTCCAGGTGCCATCTATGATTTTACTTTTGAAGGTGCTTTCAAAATTTGTGGTCCCTTAACAAAAATATTCATGGCTCAACCCAAGCTCTTTTCTGACCACTGAAGGGGAGTAGAGTCCATAGCTCAGTATGATTCTGTTGGCTCTCACAGAAAATGATGTGATCAGTGTTCATTTGATGTTGTTTTATCATACATCACACGCTTCATAGACAGAAAATGACTCGAACCTCAAATACTTGCTGAATTTTTGCCCAAGAGCACTTAACACAGATGCCACACAAAAATATCTTCTTTAGAGGGTTTGCCACAGCAGCCAGGCACATGGAAGGGAGGGCAATTGTTGGAAGAGAGAGTAGTCCTTATGGGGACGTTTGTCTGTTGGTTTACCAGGATGAGGATCTGGATCCAGATACCTTCAAACAGTTCAAGATTTGTTTTGTTTTTCTTACAGTTCTTCAGGCTAGACAGATGCCCACATCAAGGTGTGGGAGGGCTTGCTTCCTCCCAAGGGCTTGCTTCCTCCCAAGGACTTTGGGAGTTATCCTTCCTTGTTGCTTTCAAGCTTCTGCTCATGATCAATGCTCAATCCTTAACATTCTTGCACACTCACTATCTATGAGTGTCCTTTCTGTGTCTTTGCTATCACAGGACTCTCTTAGGTTTCAGTTACCCTTGTCACATTCAGGAGTCATCTTAAGCTAATCAAATGGATCTCTGGTGACTCTATATTGAACTAAGGACACTCTTTGGAGCATGGGTTTCCAACACCAAATATACCTTTTTGGTTAAAAGGTACTCTTAGCAGTTTCTGGTAGAGGTTTCCATTTCTAGAAATATCTGTTCTGAAAGTTGAAGCATTGTTGTTCATGAGAAATTTTTGATAAATGTTGTTACTGGAAATGAAAGACAGATTTACCCATGAGTTAAAGAAAATGGAATAAGACCTCCAGGATGGACTCCCAGGAAAATTCCAAGCATGGTGGTTTATTCCTTGTTATTTAAAATGATAAATGTCAACACTAAGATGAGCTGTTTGCACACAGTTCCCCCCTCCTACCCTATATTTTCATGTTCATTTTTCCAAAAAACCCTGTTTATTCAAGGGTATTCATATATGCTCATGTATGTACATTATTTATATATGCATAGGTATGTGCATATATTTATACACATGCACACAGAAATGTTTGTGTTTATAAATGGAGCTAAATATAATTTGTAAAATGTATCTTCTTCATAAGGCTTGCTACTCAAAGGTGTGGAATAGCAGTTTTCAAAATGAGCTTTGCACAGCCCTGGGCTCTGCACAGGTGTTTCCAAGGCTATGCAAATTAAATATTTATTTTTTCGAAGAAATTAAAATGCATACTGCCAGAGGATCTCTTTTTATCAGTTTTATCTATTTTTTATATTTGGGGGTTTCTTAATAAATTTTTTGCTTAAAATTAGAAAGGCTTTATTACAAAGAGAGGTGAGGTAGCAAAAGATAAACAGAATTGTTGAGAAGGTTTTTGTCTATTTTAATCTTCTCATCACATTGCCCAGGAGCTAGAGGCCCAGTGAAGGGAACTGGAGAGCTATTAGGGTCCATGAGTGGGCTCTGCTTTCCACAGCATCCCACACAGATGGTGTCTGGTGGATGTCCGATGGCATGTTAGTGAAACCTTATTTTATTTTGTTCTCCTGAAGCCTGGTGAATACTTGATTCTATGATTGTGGTTTCAAGGTTCTGTAGAAAATGTCAGAGCCTTGTTAGAGGGGACATCTAGGTGAAAGTGAGACCATCTCTCAACTTGTCAAATGTGGACATTTCCATGACTTAGATATGGATAGATTGTACTAGAGACATGGTGTCTGATGTGGAGAGGTGGATCCCACTGGAAGGTCATTGATGTGGTGACACTGGCAGAAGGGATTAGCATAGCTTTCTTTCGTGGGCTCCTGTCTGGTTATCACGGGTACAATTTGAGAAGGAAAGAATAAGGGTGAATTCAGAAGCTCCATGGCAGACAAGCCTCTTTTCTTTACACACAGCTCAGCTTTCTTTGTTTTATTATAGCAACAGAAAACGTACTAATACACAGACTAAGCTAAACTGTGGAGGAGTCAAGTGGAGGAGTCAAGTCAAGAAGGTACTAAGGGGCAAAGAAACAATGACAACTGAAGAGAAGGGAAGCTAGGAGAAGTCAGAGTGGGTGCAAAGGCTAAAAATTTGTAAGTTGGAGGCCTGCAGGTGAGACGCTGAAGTTGAAAATCTGATGAACAGAATTAGTCTTAGATAATGACAGTATCTCAGCTTTGGTCATGGTGGTCAGGAATGGATGGGAAGGGGTGGATTTGGAGTCCTCATCAGTGCATGTGTAAGGGGAACCACTGATGCTGGGAGACTGTGAGATATAGATCAACGTAGCCACCTTATGATGAGATAACCAAGGGGGTGGGGCTTTGTAGATGACACTGACCATGTGAGGGAGGTAGCGTTCAGACAGTACAGAAATATAAATGGTACAGGGTTAGTTAGTAAAGACAAAGAAAAGATTCTAGAAAGTACTTAGCACATCAGTTGATTTCTTGTTGCGGGGGCTTTGGAGCAAAGTCCTAAGGATGACTATGAGCATCTGATTTCAAGACGGGAAGAGAGAGTCAAGAGGAAGAACACACAGACAAGCGAATTCCAGAAGACACAGAGAGAACCTGGAGAATGGGGGATGACTCAGAGATGACGATGTCATCAGTGAGAAAGCTGAAGACTAGGAAGTGACCGCCTAGCAGGAAGAGAGACCTACACCCAGTGAGGCTTGTGCCCTAGGTCTCGGGATGTGTGTGAAGTAAGTTGGTCTCCAGGTTCCCGAGAGAATGTGTGTGTAGAGATTTACCACATAGCTGGCTCAGTTTGTTGCATCCAAGCCCAGAGTATGAAGAAGCCATGTTCTAAGGCACATGTCCCCGCCAGCATGTGGTAAGTACCAAAAAAGGGGGTTTCTCAGGACTTTGAAGGGGGTGCATCTGATGTGAGGGTGTGGAGGTAAATAAGAAGTTAAAGATGCCAAGTCAAAGTGTAAGCATGTCACAGGGGTGTGTAGAGCAGTTTTTGTCATTGCTGTTTATTTTTGTTTTTAATATGGCCAGCCCTTCTGGAAGGTTTTTTTTTATAAACACAGCATGATACTAGTGAGCTTGGAAGGAGGGATGGATGGGTGAAGATGATGTTGAGGTAGAGGGAGGGAGCAGGACATTTAGGGCACTTGAGTGGCCTGGAAAAAGACTGGCAGGTGCCAGGGTCATAGGTAGTGGGGCACTTAAAAGCAGGCTGCAGTTTGGGGCCAACTTTCCAGTCTTGGGCCCTTGAGAAGTGGGATGAGCCCTCTGAAGTGTTTTGGCAGGAGTCAAGTAGTAATGAGGTCCTGACACCCTGTGTAGGAGACTGTCTTGATTGAACACAACTGCTCTGTGTATACCCACCGAGAAACGGGAGCAGAGCCTTACCCATAAGTCTTCAGTACTGCACCCGGTTCAGCTGGGCAGGGTATCTACCATTCGGTTCACACAGCTGAGAGAGTCTCCAGGAGAAGATCAGAGCCGCATCATCTCCCCTTTATCTGAGAATTCCACAGACTGCTGCAGAGATGGTGGATGGGATCAGGGACAGACTTTTACCCTAGGCTGTGTGTGTGTGTGTGTGTGTGTGTGTGTGTGTGTGTGTGTGTGTGTGAGTGGGCGTGTGTGTGTGTGTGTGTGTTTTTGTCGTGTGCCTGTGTGTGTGTGTGTGTGTATGCCTCTGTGTGTGTGTGCATGTGTGTCTGTGTGTGACTGTGTTGTGTGTGCCTGTGTGTATGTGTATGTGTATGTATGCCTCTGTGTGTGTGTGTGTGTGTGTGTGTGTGTGTGTGTTCAAGCTATTTAAAAATAGTTTCTACCCACTATCTTCAGCATGTGGGAGACCTCCCATTATGTTTTATGGTGAAGTGACGTGTTGAAGATGTGGCTTTTGATGAAAAGTGCCCTCTTAGTAGATCAAAGAAGATGCCAATCACTTCTGCCCCCAGTAACCGGTGAGGATCAGGGCTCCTTGGTGGGCCACTCCAACTGTGGTCTGTGATGGGCTGGTTGATAAGAATCAGATAAGGGGAGACACAGAGACAGTCTGGGTGTGATTTCAGGCTTTTGATCAGGGGCAACTCCTGGCAACTGATCTGCAGGCGTCTTTGAGTTAAACAGTGCTTCTGCCCAGGCTGCGTAACCATCTAGTGCATAACCCGTTAGCATGAAGATACGGAATCAGCCTTCTGTGGCCATTGAGGCTAAAATGGGTATGCTTGCTGTAAATGTTCTGGAACAGAGGTACATAATTTAAAACAACCCTAAAGAATTAGAAAAAAAGGCACCATGGAACATCAAGGTGCCAAAAGAGACAATTTCGTATTTATAGATTTATTTTGCATTGGTTGGCCTTATTTCTTACACTTGAATGATGTTCATAACGCTGAATCTTTTTAATGTTTTCCCAAACACTGCAATATTTATTTTTTTCATTTTCTGGAAGTGATATTAAATAACCTTGCCACACGGTTAATATGACAGAGTTTAGTTTTCCCCCAAAGCTGGCCTCTCAGTTTTTTTCTTTTTCTTTTCCTCCAAACATCTGTGGTGAAAAGGTAGGATCTTAAATTCCAAAGTCTTGCCAAAACCATGCAAATGAAGTGGCATACCTGGAAGACAGAAGCAAAAGAAAGGAATACAAAACCCAAGTGTCTTAAAAAAAATACAAAACAATTACTGCATTCAACAGACTTTACATCCCTCTGTCAGGCCTGTTCTTAACATTTCTAAGTGACAACCCAGTTACAGGTCTTGTCTAGGGGAGGAAGGGGAGAGCTCTGCGGGAGCAGCATAAACTCCCCAGTAGGAGTCAAAGTCCTTCCCTTCCCCAGTGCCTGAGCCAGGTCCCCCCAACCTGCCAGTCTGGGGCTGAGTTTCTGATCCATGGCACTACCTGCTTCCCCCCACAGTCTGAGGCTGAGTTTCTGGGCACTAGCTACCTCAACCTGATGTAACTTAGCTGGAAGCCTCTGTCTCATTCATTGATTATTTTTAACATCAAATGATGAATCTGGTAGAAACAAATAAACAAACAAAAAACCAAAGCCTTCTCCCCTCCACCATTCTTCTCCTTCTAGAACAATTGTTGTGTAACCATCATCACACGTTTTTTGTTTGAACTTTAGTCTGGTTTTTCAAAGTGTATGCTTGGGAATTGTGTTAGTCAGTGTCCTTTCCATGGGCTCTTTGTTCTATATTCCCACAGGCTGCCGAACTCTATTCTATCCATTATCTCAGAGCTATTTTGAATTCTAATATTGTTGCTAAAAGAGATAATTGTACCTCTTAGATTATTGTTCAATTAGCAAATGAAAAATCTACATGGTAGAGTTAGATGTACGAACTGGCCTTTGGTCTCAAGTAGACCTCTCACAAAATCCTACTGGAGTAGGCTACAAAAAAAAATCTAAATATAAGTACAAATTGATTAGTGTTTTTGTGAAACACTGCCACAATGCCTGTGCCCCATGACTTTATTATGACCTCCCGTCCTAGCTCAGGGTGATTCAGATTACATGAGAATGTTACAAGGGACAATAAACTTTATTGGTGAAGAAGTATGATGGCATTTCTGCCCTCTAATTTACCAGGCTATCATGATTGCAGGGAGAAATTATAAAGCCCTGACAGCCCTTCTCCTCACCACAGCCCCTGAGTTATTACACAGTCGGATGTGTTCTCCTCAGAGCTTGCAAATTGATTTTTGGATGATTTGTTCCCGTTTTTCCAGGTAAGGAAAATAGTGGGCACCCGGAGTTCCAGGGTCATCGTTCCTCCCAATTTTAAATATAGACACATTTGCCCTTTCAAAGTCCTCTGGAACCTCCTTAGTGTCCTCCAGGAGTTCTTAAAAATAATATCTGGTAGTCTGGTGAGTATTATACCTGTGTCCTCAAAGCGTGGCATATGAAGTTGTTACTTCCCTGAACTCCAACACATTTATTTACTTGTTAAAATTGTGACTCTTTCCCCTAATCAAAGGTAGCCAGCTGAACACACAGGGTAAAGACAACCTTAGTTGTGGCTTATCTGGTTCTGAAGAGAGCACAAGCCAAGCACTGTTGTAAACTCCCAAAGATGCCATTCCTGCTGTTCTTGTATAAGCAGAATTTTTGTACCACATCATGCTATGATGACCTTGTGCCCCTGTGATGATAACTGCAAAGGTAAACTAGCTTTTATCATTCTCATCAAAACTTATCTCAGATTGCAGATCCTGCAACCAGGAGAAGCCCAGGCAGGCTCTAGGCAGACACTGTCTCTGTGAACAAGAGGCTAAGCTCGAATTCAGATCAGAAAGGGTTGTAAGAACAGAGACTGTGTTGGAGGGCTACAGTCTAGGTCATCAGGGGAACACTGGATGGCTCAGCTTGGAAAGTCATTGCTGGCCTCGGTGGCCCAGGCAACCATATGTATAACCTGTTTGCAAGAGCTGCAGGATTTTTGGAACACTGGGGTATCACAGGAAGCTCCTCCAGGAACCAGCTCTGTAGCTATCTATCCTTGTAGTGGGCAAAGCAGACTAGGCAGTCAGTTCACGACTCAGTATACATTTCCATTGATCTATGGGGACCAACCTAGTGAGGGGCTTGGGCTTTCGGAGACCCTGGTGTGTTCATGCAACTTCAAGGAATTTGTAATCCCTACAACAGTAAGAGCCTGAGGAACCAGGGCCCCAAGACTTAGTTCCATTTCACTGTATTTTCTGGAACCTATTCCTGAAAGATGTTGAACCAGTCATTTGGCAAGCTCTGTTTATGGGTTAATTTGCTTATAAAATATTTAGGGAAAGAATATCTGTTTCCTGAAGCATATAGACATTACCATACATAAATCTGGCTGCTTGGAGCAGATGCTGTCGCAAGAGTCTTCCTAGCTCTGTGTGTCTGGGAGACACAGCATGAGCACTTTCTAGGTTTTCAAGCCATCTGGAGTCTGAGGGAGTGAGAGTGCTGAGTTTCCCCAGTGAAGTTCTAAAGCCCTTTCCTGAGCCCAGCCTTTCCCCCTCACCCCATCCTCCTGTAGCAAAAGCAGTTTGCAGGTGCAAACACAGCAAATGCCCCTTCTACAGTGTCCTCATTGCCAGTGAGTGCACCACCCGCAACCCATTCCAGTCAGATCCAAAAGGAGGGCATCAGCCCCGCAAGTCAGAGCAGGCCCACACAGGTGCTTCCTGCCCAGCCACAGAGCAGCCACCCATTCGGCACAAATGGGTCACAGCTCTGGCGGGGACCGCTGAGGGAGCTGAGATCTGGGGGCTCACAGGTTTCTGCTTTCATCTGTTACCTGGTTCCACATTTCTTTCCTTCTGAAAGAGGGAGGCCTTGTGGTCACACCATCCATTTTGTTTCATTTGGTACCATATGAGAAACATGGACTAACTTCCATCCCCGCCTTTAAATCCGAGTACCGTTGGTTAAAATACCACAGATGCATTTCCTCCCCAAACCTTTATGTACAGAAAATACATGATTATAACCTGGTACTGCTTTTATTGGGAGTATAATCATAGCTGTGGGAAGGCATGTAGGCATCAGTTTTGTGTTACCATGGGAATCAGAAGAAATAAAAGAATAATGGCAAAGGTAAAATGAGAGAGATGGAGGGAGGGGGACAGAGAGGGACACAAAGGAAGGAAGAAAGGGAAGGAGGGAGACATGTTTTTTATCTTTTATCTATTTGCATTGGGGAAAAAATGGACATTTGACGTGCCTTGAACTGAGGGTGACCTGCCAAGCCAGCATCGAGTGTTTTGTTCTATCATTTAATGATCCCCAAATACTTCTAGCAAGGTGTCTGAGGCACTTTTCCTCGTTCATAGAAATCTCATGGCAACCTTTGCTCCCCAGTGGTTTAAAT